CGACTCCGCCTTTGCCAGCGAAGCGTCGGCAATGCACTTATCCCTCATCAACTCCGCCCCAAACGTGGGAGTGGCACGAGGCGCGCGTGGAGAGCGATCTCCGCGCCGCGATCCTCGCACTGCTGGAAGTAGGCCTGGAGGCCGGCCGCATGCCGATGAGAGGAGTCGGCAAGCCTGGCGTGCTTCTCGTAGCGGGCGACGCTCTTGCCGGACTTCCACTGGCCACGCTTCTGCACCTCCAGCAGCGAGCGGGAGCCCCGAGCGCGGTCGACGCCCGGGCCGCTGCGGCGCGTCTGGTACGGCACCAGGCCCGGCACGCCGATCAGTCGGGCAGCACGACGAAACGCGTGGAGGCACTCGCCGCAGTCGAAGTCCCAAAGGGGGCCTGGCCCCGCCACCGCCCGCAAGCGTTCCCAGAGCGGGTTCAGATCCTTGGCCCAGTCGCTGTCGAGCAGGATGGACACGTCCGAGTACCCGATCTTGCTCCGTCCTGGTCGTTCGTGGGGGTGGACAAGGACTGGCGCCTGGCGCAGGGGGAATGAGCTCCGCCCCCCTCACGATCAGAAGCGCCCCCGGCCTGAGGTAGGTCGAGACGGCCAGGAGGACGAACGCAGACATCCGAGGCCGATCGACATGGCACATGGCGTTGGCGAGGCCGAACCACACGCCAGGCCCCTCCGGCTTCCGAGACCGCCCGGGGCAAAGTTTGCGCCACCCCTGAAGCGCCCTCCAGGCCCGCGGGAGCTTCAAAGAGCCCCGGCGGCCGCAGGCAGGACGGAGGTGGATCCAGCCCGCCAGAGCCTCGGGCCCCTGTCCACGGCTGAAAGCCCCTGAAGAAGCACTGATCGAGGTATGACGCGAAAACGGCGTCCACGGCGTCGGCCTCGGCGCGGCCCACCTGGACCCCCTGGGCTGTCGCGCACTTGGCGAAGGACGCCACCTCGTAGGCGTACTCGAGGTGGACCTTGTCCGTCACCGCGCGCTTCTCGAGCAGAGTGATCCCGTCGTTCTCGGCCCTGAATTTCTCTTCGAGATAACACCAGAGCCGACGCTTCGACCGGGTCGCCAGTGTCCGTTCTCGTCGGGCGGACCGACTGACGCCCGCGGATGCGGGCCCAGTGCTCGAAAAACTCGACGTGGGCGGCCTCGGAAAGCCGCGCCTGACGACGTAGCCGCCGCTCTCCTCGCGGACGGTCTGCGTCGCCCGCTCGTCCAGCGCCCGGCTCACAGGCGCCCTCGGCTGCAGGAGGGCCCCTAGCGACAGCTGCGGCGAGAGCTGCCTCACTCGGGAGGCTCCCGTCCGCGCGGTCGCGCGGGACGGGAGCGGCGGCTCCGCCGCCACAAGGGCCCGCACCTTCCTCGCCAGGGTCGCTCCCGAGCTGCGGTCCGGCACATCCCCCGAGGCCCCCGCGCCCAAGGTCCGCCGCCGCTTCCGCCCCTCGCTCATCGGCTCGAGCCTGCGGCGACCGTGCCCTGCGGACGATGTCGGGGATGGCCCAGGCGAGCGACGACGATGCTTTTTCCGAAAATATCCGGGACGGCTCGTCACCGAAATTCAGCTCGCTCGGCACCCACCTCACGTGCGGCCTGATGTCGCGGGCCAGCAGGTAGCCGCCCAGCTTGCGCAGGACGGTCAGCAGAATGAAGTCCCGGCAACGGCTCCGGATCACAGCCAGCACCACCGACATGTTATCGCAGAGGTGGAGGTGTCTGCGATTGCCGCCAACAGCGACCTGCGCCAGCCGACGCACCGACGCCAGCAGGGCCCGAGCCTCCAGCAGAGTGATATGCTCGTGCCTGCCCCAAGTGCCTGCGCGGCAGACGCGCCAGCCCCCTGGGTGGAGAAGACGGGCAGGCACACCGGGGAACCCCTCAACGATGGACCAGTCCTCGCCGAGCTCGTCGCCCGCGCGCGGCCGCCAGCGCCCGCCCTCGAGCACAAAGCCGGCGGCCGCCATGGCGGACTCCCGCGGGGCGACAGCCCCTCCTCGGCGGAAACGGCCTCGCTCTCGGACTCGCCCGACGCTGGCGACGTCGTGAGACGACCAGCGAGAGCTGACAATGCCGAAACCCTCCGGCGACGCGTCCGAGGCGGCGACGCCCCACGGCAGCCACCAGTCGCTCTCCATGAAGACCGGCAGCCCGTCGAACGCGGTGAACTCCGCCTCGACGGTACTCCAGAGCTCTACGTCCTTCGTGTACGTGGCGTGCACAAACGCGTACGCGGCCGAGAACACGGTCATGGTCCCCCGCTTGATGAGGGCGGCGTAGGTGCAGTGCCCGAGCACGCTCTCCACCATCTGCCCGCTCGCGCGGCCACGCTGGAAGAGATAGAGCAACCCCCTCTCAAGCCTGACCCGCCGCTTGGCGGTGAGACAGGTCACGAGCCGCGCCCCGTCTAGGTCGACCCCCAGCGCGGAGCCCTTCTCGGTGAACAGCTCGACCTCGTGAATGTCCAGGCCGCTCTCCCCGAAGACCCGGACCTGCCCCGACAAGGCGGCCTCCACCGTGCCGGCGTGCCGGCCCATGACTCCGAGGTTGTCCACGCACGCGCGTCGCCAGAGGTCTGTCTCGGGGTCTCCAGTCGCAAGGACCGCCCAGCCCCCGCGGTCGGACAGCAAGCGGGCGCGGCGAAGAAGGGGCGCGCTGCCGGAGAGCCCGGCGTTGGCGCTCTGGCAGAAGTAGTGGCTCCATGCGAGCCCCATGGGAAGAGGGCGCGCGGCCGGCCACAACTGGGTGTCGCCGACAGCCCGATCGCCCTCGATAAGCGGATGGCCCGAGGGGTCGACCTCGGCGGCGGACACTGGCTCGTAACAGAAAAAAGCGCCCATCCACGGCGGCATGATCATGCGGTGGAAGCAGTTCTCCCCGTCGGCCACGCCTAGGGCAACTCGGAGCGCCCGAAGAGCACCTCGGCCCAGGTCGGCGGCCAGCTAGGTCCTCGTCGACGTAGACCTCGATGTTCGAGAGGCCCTCCGCGGTCAGTTGGTCCACATGAGGAGGCTGGGCGAACCGCTGGTTGGCGGCTCGCCCATCCAAGATCAATCTCTGCTTGGTCTTGCCCTTCTTCCAGACGGAGAAGGACCCAATGAAGTCGATCGGCCGCGTGGTATACCGGAGCGTGCCGACGCCGCGCAGGCGGCGAACGAACCGAAGGCACTGCCAGCGCGACCGCGCCAGGCGGGGATCTGAGTACGGCTTGGCCGGGCCGTGCCGCCGCAGGCTCTCAAACTCGCCGGCGTCTCGTAGCATACGCTCTCCACAACCCTCCAGGAAGAGGCGCCCCTGCTGGTCGACGAGGTCGCCCACGAACGGCGCCGTGGAGACGTCGGCCGGCGAAGAGACAAGGCGCAACTGGAAGGGGGCAATGTTCGACTGGCACTCCTCGCACAGGGAGACGCCACGGATCATGTGCAAAAAGGGCGATCTCGGCGAGGGTGCGTCAGCAACCGGCTCCTGGGATCTGACCTGGCCCTCGATGCGCGCCACTACCTCGTTGTGCATGCCGGCGAAGTCGCACCGATGCAAGAAAGTGCTGCTCTCCAGGCCCCCCCAGCCAATTGAGCGCCCCGATCGCCCGATTGACGACGACAAAGGCGCGCCGATGGCCACGAGGCCCCCGTCGCCCACGATGACGTCGGCCGCCAAGCCCCTCCGCCACCAAGGGGATCGGGAAGAGCAGGCGCGAGCCCCGCCCCGGCGGAAGGACGGCCGACGTGGGCCGATACGTCTCGGCGGGGGGGGGCCCACTCCCCCCGCCGTGCCCAAGGGTCGTCACTGGGCGCCGGGGGGGGCGCCACTGCCGCGGCCGCGGCCATCTGCGCCGCCGCCGCGGCCACGGCCGCCTCTCCCCCGACCTCCGCCTCCTGACCCCCCTCGGGGGTCTCCTCGTCGCCAGAGCCAGCCTGGAGCGCCCGCGCCCGCTGGGCCCCCGCGGCGACGTCGGCGCCCTCCTTCGCCTTCTTGGCCACGTACTGCCTCATCTCTGGTGCGATCGCATCGACCGCCGAGGACGCGCCCGCAAAGTAGCGAGCGAGCTGCCAGTTCGGGGCCTTGCCAGCGACCTGGTACGCGTCGATGATGGTCTGTGCCCGGCGCACGACCACCTCCATGCTGGCCAGCGCTGGGAGGTTAACCTGGTCGTAGGTCGCACCCAGAAAAAGGATGTCGATCAAGCCCCGCATCTCATGCATCACGCGGTCCGAGTCCTCAACACGGCGCTCTCGTGCCCAGATGGCCAGCCAGAGGCGTGGATTGCCCCCGTGACGCTCCATGTGGCACATGACGGCATGCACAGTGGAGGGCCCCTACAGCGGGAAGTCTGGGTCCACGAGGCTGTGCGACTCCTGGCAGCACTTGCGGAAATCCTTGTACCTGGTCCCCAGCTCGTGTAGTCCAACCAGAGCGTGCGGGCGTCCCCGCTGTCAGCAGCCGCCGCCGGCGAGGCCGCCTGGACTGGGTCCGCGCCCAGGATGGTCTGCGCACGGCTCGCCTCCGGCTGGGCCTCGCCCGTGACCAGCAGCTCCGCACGCGCCATCCTACACCAGTCGGCGATGAACCTCTCCAGGAGGTCCGTCCGAATGCAGGTGACCCTCCGATAGCCATCTCCGCGAGTCACCAGGGCGTCGTGCTTGTCGACTCGCACCTCATCGGCCTCCAGCTTGACCTCGCTGCCCACGGGTCCGATGGCGGAGGGCTCTGCCAACACCCACACATGGCCCGCGATGGCGGGCCCAGGCCCGCGCGCTGGGAAGACCTCCCCGCCCGAGTCTCGTGCCGCCCCCGTGTCGGCGACAGCAGGAAAGCGAGCCCGTCGCCGCAGGAGAAAGCTGCCGCCGAAAAGGTCGTCCAGCGTGGTCACCTCACCGAACTTCACCATCACCTGCTCGGGCCGCCGGAGCTCCAGGCCTGCGGAGCGGACGATCTCCTCCGCCTCCGCGTGGCCCTGACGGATCACCGCCTTGAGCTCGTCGCGCGTCGGGGCCTCCTTGAAGCGGTACGCCTGGGCGCCGAGCCTGGGCAACCTGCCGTCCACCAGCAGCGGGATGGCGCGCTCGAGGCCGTCGGGGTCTGACCCGTCAAGGTACTCCGCATACACGTCCTTGTCGGGTGTCTGCAGCACCCACTGAGCACCCTGGACCGGCCACACCGCCAGTCTCTCATGCAACACGCTGTCGCCGCCGTACCACACCAGTAGTCGGGCCCCCGGCATCAGCGTCTTCCAGAACTCCGAGTCCACGACGGCGTGCGGGGCCATCGCCATGGCGCCTGCAGCACGAGCAGCACGAGAGGGCCCAGGAGCCGCAACCCCAGGCGAGCCGCCCCGCATGCTGGCCCGCCAGGCCGGCGCCGAGGGCCTGAGGCAGCGCCCCCCACTGCGGGTCCGCCTCTTCACAGGCCGCCGGCACCACGGCCCACGGCTCCATCGGCGCCGGGCACCTGCACTCGCACGGCGGGCAGGGCAGCGCGGGGGGCTCGGGTGCCCGCAGCAGCCAGTAGGTCAGCGCCTCGTGGCCCAGGAGCAGGAACAGCTTCTGGAGAGGGCCTCCGGCCATCCAATGCCGAGGCCGGAGGTCGCAGGCTCAACCCTGTGAGCCAAAAAGACTTCGGAGCTTGCAGATGCTCTGACAGACATGCTGGCAAACGACAAGCCGCTCTCTTACCCCATTCATGTGCACGCACTCCCATCATCGTCATCAGCATCAGAACCACCATCATCTGAATTATCATCATCAGCAGCATCTTCATTATCAGAATCATCATCGTAATAGTCGTCACCATCGTCGGCGTCATTCATCATCATCGTCATCGCCATCGCCATCGTCATCATCATGATCATCAGCATCGTCATCATCGTTATCATCATCAGCAGCAGCATCGTCATCATCAGCATCATCATCGTCATCATTATCAGCATCATCCTCATCATCAGCATCAGCAGCATCATCAGCATCATTATCGTTTTCATCATCATCTTTATCTGCATGGCCATCATCGCCATCACCATCAGCGGCAGAAACACCATCAGACCATGTCATAGAATCATCATCGGCGTTGGCACCATCGACATCTGCATCCTCATGATCATCATCACTATCATCATCATCATCATCATCATCATCATCATCATCATCATCAGCATCATCATCATGCGCAGCAGCGTCATCATAATCGCCAGCACCAGCACCATCACCACCACCACCTCAACCACCAACATCCTCATCATCCTCATCATCATCATCATCAGCATCATCATCATCACCACCACCACCATCATCATCATCATGATCATCATCAATATCATCATCATCATCATCATCATCATCATCATCATCTTCATCATCATCATCATCACCACCATCATCATCAGCATCATCGTCATCATCAGCATCAGCAGAATCATCAGCATCATCATGCCTCAACCTGCTCCTCGCGCTCCTCATCCTCCTTCTCCTCCTCCCCCTCCTCCTCTTCCTCCTCCTCCTTCTCCTCCTCCCCCTCTCCGTCTTCCTCCCCCTCCTCTTTTACCGAGTCCTCATCACGCTCATACTCTTCCTTCTCACGCTCCACCTCCTGCTCCTCGACCCCGCCGTGTCCTCCCCCTCCTCATCTTGCTCTCACTCCTCCTCTTCCCCCTCCTCCTCCTCCTCCTCCACCTCTTCCTCCTCCGTCTCATCCTTCCTTCCATCATCCTCCCTCTCATTGCCTGTTTCTGTCTTGTTCTTTTCCATGGGACGCGCCGGTTTCGTGGCGCACCGCTTCCAGACTCCAGCTCCATCCTCCTCCCGCCCTCCTGCTCCTCCTCCTCCTCCTTCTCCTCCTCCTCCTCTCCTCCTCCTCCTTCTCCTTCTTCTCCTCTTCTCCTCCTCCCCTCCTCTCCTCCTCCTCCACCTCCTCCTCCTCCTCCTTTTCCTCCCCCTTTTCCTCCTCCTTTTTCTCTCTCTCCTCCTCCCGATGAAGGCACTGGGAGTTCGACGTCAGCCGCAGAACGAAGGCCTCCGCCTTCTCGATGCTCCGTTTCAAGCTGGCCTGTTCCTCCTCGCCGCGAGAGCGCGGCGAACCGGGGCGCTGGGTGCCCCCGCCCATCCCTGCCGCCTCCCGTGAGCGTTGCTGCCGCAGCCGCTGCTGAAGCCGCTCCACCACCACCACCATCATCGTCCTTTTCGTCCTCATCGTCCTCACCATCAACACCATCGTCCTGATCATCATCATCATCATCATCATCATCATCATCATCATCATCATCATCATCATCATCATCATCATCATCATCATCATCATCATCATCCTCATCAGCATCATCAGCATCATCACCAGCATCATCAGCATCATCAGCATCAGCATCATCATCATCATCATCATCATCATCATCATCATCATCATCATCACGAACAGCATCATCATCATCATCATCATCATCATCATCATCATCATCACGAACAGCATCATCATCATCATCATCATCATCATCATCATCATCATCATCATCATCATCATCAGCATCATCATCATCATCATCATCATCATCATCATCATCAGCATCATCAGCATCATCATCACCACCATCATCATCATCAGCATCATCAGCATCATTAGCATCACCATCATCATCAACAGCATCATCAGCATCATCAGCATCAGCATCACCTCCATCATCATCATCATCATCATCATCATCATCATCATCATCATCATCGTCATCGTCATCGTCATCGTCATCGTAATCATCATCATAATCATCATCATAATCATCATCATCATCACCATCACCACCACTATCGTCATCATCGTCATCATCGTAAGCATCATCGTCAGCAGCATCATCAGCATCATCATGATCATCAGCATCGTCATCATCGTCATCATCATCAGCAGCAGCATCGTCATCATCACCATCATCATCATCGTCATCATCATAACCAGCATAATCAGCAGCATCATCATCATCAGACTCATCATCATCATCAGCAGCATCATCATCACCATCATCACCATCATCATCAACAGCATCATGATCATTATCATCAGCATCAGCAGCAGTATCATGAGTATCGTTAAGATCAGCATCATCAGCATCATCAGCATCATCAGTATCATCAGCATCATAATCAGCAGCATCATGATCACCATCATCAGCATCATCATCGGCATCATCATCAGTAACAACATCATCATCGTTGTCATCATCATCAACAGCAGCATCATCGGAATCATCCTCACCATCAGCATCATCAGCATCATCAGCATCATCAGCATCAGCATCGGCATCATCATTGCAGTCGTTGTCAGAAAAAAACATCGTCATCATCAGTTTCCCCATCATCTTCGTCATCATGATCATCATCATCCTTATCATGCTCACCATCACTAGTCATTCATCCTCCTCTTGCCCCTGCTCCTGCTCCTCCTTCCCTCCTCCTCCTCCTCATCATCATCATCATCGTGATCATCATCTTCATCCTCATCCTCCTCTTCCTCCTCCTCCTCCTCATCTTCATCCTCCTCCCCCCTCCTCCCTCTCAGGATCGGCGCTTCAAGCCCCGAGCTGATGCAGCGACAATCCTGAGAGGGGGAGAGGGGGCAGGAGAAGGAGGAGGAGGAGGAGAAGGAGGAGGAGCAAGAGCAGGAGCAGGAGCAGGAGCAAGAGCAGGAAGAGCAGAAGTGAGCGGACGATACCAATCGTGATTCGACATCCCGTGCCATCAAGCCGCCTCGCAAGATCCATGTCGTCAGCAACGAGGCAGAAGAAAGCAGAGGCGATGCGAAGTCAATGCGCAGAGCCCGTGGAAGGGGAGGACACGGAGGAGCGACCTGACTCAACTCCCCTCTCGGGTGGGCCAAGGAGGGGTTCCGTTCGGAACGATCCGGGTACCCTTAGGGAGCTCTCGGCGAGGCGCAGTTGCTGGCATCCCGAGGCGAGAAAACCTCCAAGACAAGGGCAAAGACCAGACACCCCCCCTCCTGGACGCCCCCGAAACCTAGAACTGCAAACCTGGACTGGCGTCGCGTGGATTAGCGACGGGTCACGCTTCTGTACAGAATCGGCCCGTTCCAACGCCAAATCAGGAAGCAGCGGCCTCTCGTTTCGGGGGGGTACCGTCTCCGAGCCGTGGATCTGGCACCCTCGCGCCAGATACATGGATCCCTAATCCATGTTAGCGTGCGCTCGAGACCTGGTCCACCTCCCCCGACGACGAGAACGACGACGCCCGGCGAGCCCGCTCCTCCTGCCGCCGCCTGTCTCGCCGCGCCGCCTCCACTTGCGCGCGGACCTTCGCCGCGCGCTTCTCGTCGTTTTCATCGTCGTCGTCATATCGTCGTCATCGTCGTCGTCGCAAGCGTCGTAGTCGTCGTCGTCGCCGCCGCCGGCGGCGTCGGCGTCGGCGTCGGCGTCGGCGTTGGCGTCGTCCTCGTCGTCAGATCGTCAGATCGTCGTCGTCGTCGTCTTCAGATCGTCGTCGTCAAAAGGGGAGATTTCGCGTTCGGCGCGCAGGCGAACGCTTCGCTGCGAGCACGCCGAGGCAGCCCGAGCAGCGCGCATGGGCCGTCGCTGGCGCCGCGACCGTGAAGGTGTACGCGCAGGGGTTTGAGTTATGGCGTGCGGCTGCCGCTGACGAAGAATCCCAAGCGGGCGCGGTAGTTCGCCGCCGGGCGATTCGTTCGCCTCGGCGCGCTCTTCGAATGGAAGGAAGGGGAGTCCGAAGGGGTGGGACTGGCACCCCCCTCGCAACGATGCGCCTGAGAGGTACGAACTCGGCGACGTCGGCGCCGCAACGCGCATCTTTCGCAAGGCCGCGCGCGCTGGCGCGGCGCCCACGAAGGCGCATGCGAAGGCATGCCTCGGAGAAGAGCGCGAAGGCATGCATGGAAGAAGAGCCCGACGGCGCCGCATACTCTGCGATGTCATACGATTCGCGCACCAGGGGCGTGCATGGGAGCAGGCCCGGGGGCGCCGCATGCTGTATGTCCATACGGTCCGTAGCCCCATGGGCAGCCGAAAGGGCGCCGCATGCTGTGATGTCATAGGTTTCACGCACGAGGGGCGTGCATGGATGGGACAGGCGTAGGGGAGCCGCATGCTGTATTTTCATAAGGCTCGTTGCCCCATGGGCAGCCGAGAAAGCGCCGCATGTTGTATTTTCATAAGGCTCATTGCCCCATGGGCAGCCGAAAAAGCGCCGCATGCTGTATTTTCATAAGTTCGGAACCCCAGGGAAAGTAGAGGCTCACCCGGAACCCAACGGCTAGGGCTGAGGGTTCAAGTTTCTTTTCATTAGGGAACGAACCAAGCCGCACACGCGCGGCTTGCGAATGCCTCCTCGACAGCTATCGCCGCTTCGTCGGTGCAGCGCACCCCGCATGGGCAGGCTCGCCGGGCGTTCGGCCAGGCGCCACGGGCTACAGACGTTGCAACGCCCGCGGCTTGCAATGTAGGGTTTAGGGCCTGCGTTGGACAAAGCGCGCGCTGGCTGCGATCCCCCCCCTCATCAAGATTGTTGGGGGGGATCGCTGCCCGGGCTGCGCGCGCCCCGAACTTCGCACTCCCGCCCCAGACCACCCACAGGGAAGCCTTTCAGGGTACAGGGTCTCTACCCCTCCTATCAAGGAGGGATTTCGTGCCACGTTGCCAAGCGACGCAGTTGTCGCGAGCAAACAGCGGCGGCCAGGGAACTGCGCATTCGTTTGAGCGCGCGCGCGCGAAACGCGCTGCTACGCCATTGGCGTTGAATCTCGTCGTTCGGATGCCGCTGGCGCGGCATTCCACTGCGGCGTCGTGATCCCATGGGCCCCGGTTTCACCGTCGGCGGTCTCGCCGACGCTTTCGCATTGTCGGCGCGACTTTCGCGCGGGTGGAGGCGGGCGGCGACGGGGCGAGCAAGGCCCCATCGCCGCGACGCTAATTGGCGCCGGCTGGGCGCGCTAAACCCTGCGGGGCTCGCGCTCGCAGTTGCGCCGGCGCTGAAACCCGCGGGGCTCGCGCCGCGGCGTCGCGCTGAGCCCCCCTGGGCTGGCGCGACGCCGACTGGGGGCGCTGCGCCCTGCGGGGCTCGCGATCGCAGGTGCATGGCGCCGACCCCATCCAGGGCTCGCGCCACGGCGCTGCGCTGAACCCTCCAGGGCTCGCGCGACACCGGCGCGGGGGCGCCAGCACACGGGGCCCGCGCTCTGCTGCGTCGGGCATTCTGCGCGAGCCGCGCCCGCGCGGCGCGTCTTGTTCGCGCGCGCGCGGCAAGCACGGGGGCCCGCGGGCGCTCGCTAATTTCCGCCCGCTTCCGCCGCCCGGCCCCAAGCTTCCACCAGCTTCCGCTTTCGCCAGCGCCAGCTTCCGCCAGCTCCCGCCGCGCCCTGGCCCCGAGCCCCGCCTTCGCTTCCGTTGCGTTTACAGCCCCGCCTTTGCTTCCGCAGCTTCCCCATCGCTGCCGCCAATTTCCGCCGCCCCCCCCCCCCATCCTCCTCTCGGGCGGGTCTCCGAGCCTCGGCGCCGCTGATCCGGAAGACCGCCGCGGCCCCCACCTCGCGCAGCAGGAGGCGGCAGGCGCCCTCGGTGACCGAGACTCGCCAGACGCCCTGGACCGCGCCGCGCCCGCCCGCTTCGCCCCTCTAACCTCGACCTTCGCGCGCTGACGCTTGCGCCGCAGCTTGCCCGGGAACTGGCCCGCTAACTTGGAAGACCGCATGCTCGCGCGCGCAGTTGCGCGAGCCCCGCAAGTCGGCCCTCGAAGGCGCGCGGGAACTGGACCTCCTTGACCCGGCCCTCGGGCGGCTTGAGCACGCCCCACGGGGCCCGGGAGGCAGGGGCCCTCGGGCCTGCGCTGGACGCCCCCCGGGGCGCTCGCTCGCCAGCCGCGGCTCGACGACGAGGCCGGGCTCGACGGAGTAGCCCAGAGGCCCCAGTCCCGCGGCGACCACGCGCTCGAGCCGGCTCGGTCGGCAGGATCGCGAGCACCCGGTCCGCTCGCAGCCCTTGGAGCGGCACCGCCTCCATGTTCTCATCGCGGAAGCGGGCGCGGGCCTCGGTTGCGCAGCAATGGCGCCCGCAATGGTGCCCGCGGGCGCCTGGCCCCTGCAAGAAGCTCAAGGCGTCGGGGGCCGCGGGCGCGCAGACCACATTCGAATCTCGAGCTGCGCTCGGCGCGCGAAGGCCTCGGCCCACTAGCTCGAGAGGCAGTCTGCGAACGCGAGGGTCTGGCCGCGCTGCTCCACGATGAAATCGGTGGCCCAGATAGCGACGAGCCCGCCCGCCCAAGCCCTCGGCTGCCCCCACGCGTCGATGGCCTCGAAGAGCCTCGCGCGATCCTCCTCGGAGAACTCGCGCAGAGCGCTGCGCCAGCCATTGAGCAACGCGCCCGGGGGCTCGCCTGCCCGGAAGAGCTCCGCCCCCCTGTCGCACCGCTCGCAAGTGGCGTCGCGCAGCCAGATGCCCCCCCAAGGTCCGCGTCGCTCACTCGGCAGCAATTGGCGCAGGGGGCGAGGAGCACGCTGCGCCCCTTGGCAGACCCGGGCCTCCGGCTCGGGCCGAACCAGCCCTCGACGGCGGAGATGCTGATGAAGGCGAACCTGTGGATGTCCCCCGCTCTCGAGTAGGTTCGGTCCACTCGCCCCCTTCTGGCCGGGGTGCTTCCCCAAGAACTTGGCCTTCTCGGCCTCGAAAGCTGCCGCGTTCTCCCGGCTCTGCGCCTCGCGAAACTTGCGGCGGAGGTTTCGGGTGCGCTGCTTGGCGCCGGCGGCGTAAATCTCACCTTCGCGGGCGCGCGCTACCCCCTCGCCGCCGAGCTCGAGCCGGAGCGCGGCGGCGTCGACGCAGACCGCGCTCGCGCCGGCCCTCTGCGCGGACAAGGCTTCGGGGCCCCCGGCGACGAGGCCTCGAGGCCGCCCCTCGCCACCAGGCGCGGGAACCTGTCGGCCGCGCAGAGCCCCTCGCCACCAGGCGCGGCAACCAGCGGGGCGTTCTCCGCGCAGAGCGCCCTGTTCACCTGGTCAGAGAGGCGCCGGCCCTCGCGCCCGCGCGCGCGCCCACTTCTGGCCCTGCTTGCTCTGCTGGTTGATCTGGAAGGTCTTCGGGCGCATGATAACCCTCTCGTGGACCTTGGCATTGTAGCTCTTGCGCCCGGCTTTTCTCAAGCGGAGCTGCTCGCCCCGCTCGAACTCCAGCTCGCGGCGCACCCGCGTCGGGATCACCCCCCCTGACCTCGCGGCCCCGCTCGCGCCCCCGCTTGAACCAGCACCCCGCGCGGCGCGCGACACCCTCGAGCGAGCGCTTGGCCGCGACCAAACCGGGCGCGTCGCGGGAGAGCCCGGCGACCTCGCTCCCGCGCTCGCCGCGGTCGGGGCGGACGCACCCGCAAGCTCGGAGGCCGTTCTTGCCGAACCTCGCCGCGGCGACCCTCCTCTCGAGAGCAAACCGAAACCCGCGCCACCTCGCGACCGCCTCGCGGCTCCACCGCCACATCTCGCGCAGCTTGGCCTTGGCGGCGCCGGGCAGGAAGGGGGGCTTCGGCGTTCCGCGCTCGCCGGCGCGCCTGCTCCAGTCGAGGACAGCCTGGGGACGCGCTGGCGGTTCTCGTCGCAGCGCGGGTGCCGTTCGCGGCTTGCGCCCCCCTGGCAGCGCTTGGCCACCCACTCGGGTCTGCCGCCGAGGCCAAAGCCTCGCTTGACGCCTCGCTCGAAGTCCTGTGGGCCCAGCGCCTTGCCCTCGGCGTGTGCCAGCTCTCGGCGCGCGGCCCCAGCCGCCCGTCGCTCCTCGGGAAAGGGGGGCGTGAACACTTGGTAGCGGTAGTAATCGTAGAAATAACAATACTAATAATAAGTATTATAATACTAGTAATCGTAGCAGCAGCAGCAGCAGCAGCAGCAGCAGCAGCAGCAGCAGTAGTAGTAGTAGTAGTTGTAGTAGTAGTAGTAGTAGTAGTAGTAGTAGTAGTAGTAGTAGTAGTAGTAGTAGTACTAGTACTAGTACTAGTACTAGTGCTAGTAGTAGTAGTAGTAGTGCTAGTTGTAGTAGTGGAAGTATTAGTAGTAACCAGTAGTAGTAACCAGTAGTAGTAACCAGCAGTAGTAGTAGTAGTAGTAGTAGTTGTAGTAGTAGTAGTAGTCGTAGTAGTAGTAGTAGTAGCAGTAGTACTAGTAGTAATAGTATGGTCGTAATCGTAGTCGTAGTAGTAGTAGTAGTAGCAGTAATAATATAAGTAGTAGTAGTAGTAGTAGTAGTAGGAGTAGGAGTAGTAGTAGTCGTGGGAGTGGTAGTCGTAGAACTAGTAGTAGTCACAATAGTAATAGTAGTAGC